CTGGCGACGGGAGACGCCAGTGCAACCACGGTCTCGCTGGATTACCCGGCAGTAGGAGAGCGGGTTGGGATGCTCGGTATCTCGATGGAGGTGGCAGTGATGAGGTTCTTGATGCGGCTTCTTTTGGTCATCTCTTCTGCCTTGGTCAACCGGAGAAATGGCACGTCCGGTAATGTGAGATTGGGAGGTGGAGATGGAGCGCGAAGAAAGTCTGTGACTTTACTCCGGCGTGGAGCTGAATATCTGTATGTCAGTTTGTAACCGAGGAGCTCGTGGCAATCCCGGTTGTGGTAGCGGAGCGCGGTTCTGATAGCTGCTTCGTTGGGATAATGATAGTGGGCTTGCAAGGCTTCGATTGCTGTAAAGGAAAGAAGAAAAAATGTCAAGTACAGAATAGTAAAGAAAGATAAATTGACCGAGCAGTTAGCACGGCTTACATGTCTCACCGAAATTCTTGCTGATAAAGCAGGCCGGTACGTCGGCTGTTTCATAGTTACCAGACACCCAGAAAAAGTCATCGTCGTGCAAGTCCTTATCTGGGGTGCCGGTCACTATCTTCTCCTTGCCCGGTCTGATTTTTAAATAGTAGGCAAGGCCATCGCCTGTATGCTCGAGGGTATACTGCCACAGTATCTCGGCTAGTCCTAGGTTGGTTCCTAGCCGGTTGTTCAGTTCATGGATCCCGTTGATTATTCTGTAAGTGTTGGTTGAGACCTGGGTTGGAGCTAGCCCGGTGCGCCGCAAGAATTCGCAGATCAGCGGGTTAATCGGGAAGCGGAGGCCCTATTTTATAATGGACAACACGGTGAAAGTACACTGGTCTAATCTGCCCTATGAGGTTGCGTCCTCAATGCCGAGCTCTAAATGAACGTCGTCCGGGATACCGTACTCTTCCCGGAACGCGGCCAAGGCAATTGGAGTGTCGACAAGGAAGTGGTAGCGCCCCATGTGTAGCCGACTGGTTTAGCTCGGCTGAGGTGGTTTGGCACACACTGGTGTTTGATGGTTGCTCGGTCTTTGAGAGCCTCGGTATTGGTCAGTGGTCCCCTTGGACTTTGCAGGAAAATGAGGGTAATTATAAGTGGAAGCGCAGTCGCGCAAAATGAGCTTGACTTTAGCTCGGTCAGGAAGAGTACCAAACCACCTCGATCGCAAAGGCAAACCAAGGAGCTCGGTCGCTCAAGCGGACCAGATGTCAGCCCGGTCGAGCGGTCAAGTCCTCTGCCTACCTCAGTTTCTACTAAGGTTTTGGTAAACTTGTAATTTGCTCGGTTTTAACGTTTTTTGGGATCAAAAGAAGACTTGGAGCCCGGTCCGCCCCAGATCTTCAGGTGTTCATCAGTGAAGCTGAAGAACAGCAAGGAGAATAAGGGGCAGGGGAGAGTTTTGGGGAGCTATACCCTAAAATCTATGGTTTCAGTGCCCTAAAACAAGAAATATCAAATGCAACAGCCATAAAAGGATTCGAAGAGCTTACCAGTAGAGGCGAATGCAGGTCCTTCAGGCACAAACCCAGAAGGGCAAGAGTGAGAGCTACTGAGGGCACTGGAGCTCTGGATCGGCAAGAATGAAGGAGAGTTAGTAAGAACGAAAAGTGAAGGGGAAGAGACGTATAAATGGAAGTGAGAGACTGCCAAAAATTTTGAATGTGAAGGGACGTGATGGTTGGCTGCTCGAGGCCAACAAACGAGCGACGCGTGTCCCAATTAATGGCGGAGTCAAAGTTGAAGAGACAGGAAGGCGAGATGAGACATCGGCCGAGCAAACCGAGGAACCGAGCACTGGAATTAGTGCGGTTGACAACTTGCAAACAACAGACCGAGGAAAGGTCTACCCCGGTCGGATCATGTAATCCTGGTCATGCTTTTGCGGACGAAATTAATGGGCAATTGAGAGGGAGATTTTATGAGCTGGAAATGGGCCATGGTGAGGGCCGAGCAAGTTGAAGGCCGAGCGCGTTTGGGCCAGGATAGCTTTGGGCTTGCACGGAGATAGGGCTGCTCGGCTAAAGCCCAAGACCGAGCTACTTGAACTTGCACAGGTGGGAACCGTGCTACTTGCGTTGCTCAACAGGAAGGCTCGCACCTTTATCTCGGCAGGAAGGCCTTAGTTTTACCCACGTGACCTATTTTGAGCTTGGCTCTGCTGGAATGCAACTGAGCTCGATCGGTATGGAGCTCGGCTAGAGAGCATTCGGGCATGTGGCGTAGCACGGCCGTGTGACGCCGAGGTGATTCCGCCGGTTTGCCAGGCTCCGCCAAGATATCCTAACAGCTTGGTTAGGAGGTGATTGCTGGATTTGTGCTGATAGATGGGATAGTAGCACCACGTGTCGAGAGACTAATGAGAGTAGATTTGGGGCGCAGAAGGTATATAAGCGTGTCTGCGCCCCCCGTGCTGGGACAGATGATCATTTGGTGAGATATACTTAGACATTCAACCCTCTCCTCTCTCTATCTATCCCTGAGTGTGTGCTAACTTGACCGTCGGAGGGGTTTTTCGGCCACACACCGCCGGGTAGCTCACCGCCGTTGTGTTCGCAGGTCGATCGGATAGACAGGGAGCTTGGAAGAAAGGAGTACGGACTCGCCGGAATATTTGCTCCCCGTACACTCGCAATTACAATAATAATCTTTGAAAGCCAAAAAAGCAAACAGTGTGTCTAACAATTATTGCCATCATCCCAGGTACATCCTCATTTACTAGGTATCCATCAGACTAGAATGCCTTTGCCCCTTGAAATGGAAGAGGAGCCTGTTTATGTGAATGCAAAGCAGTATCATGGAATTTTGCGGTGAAGGCAAATACGAGCTAAGTTGGAACTGGAAAAGAAAGTAATAAAAGCTAGGAAGGTAGGAGTTACAGTTTGTGGTTTCTATTCTTTAAATGAGATAAAAGTGCCATCAATTATTAACTATGAAATATTGTTTGCTATTCTAACCACAAAACCTTCATTCCCTGACCCTACAAACAAACCACCAAATAAGGTAGAGACGGACTAGTAAAAGGGAAATGTATTAAATAAATTTAGACATGCATTAAGTTATGGGAAAAAAATATTAGTGCAATTTTCACTGTATGTCTGTGTTTCTAGTCTAGGTGTTTGGGGATTGTTTTTATCTTCTCTTATTTTGGTCTTTAGTGAATTTTTTAATAGAATTCCAAAAAGTTTTAGGCTTTTAGATTCTACTCTACCAGACGAATCGAAAATTTAAAAAAAAAATTAATTCCAAAAAAGACAAAAGTATGCCAAAAATAGTGGACTTATTTTGGCTTTTTTTGGATTTTTTTAATATATATATTTTTGAAAATTTTCAAAAAAAAAATGTATTTTTTAGATTCGTCTACATAAGGCAGATCGGAAAAGTAGAAAAGTTTGACATTTTTAAAAAAAGGTCACTAGAGACAAAAGTTCAAAAAAGAAAAAAATGTGGCTTATTTAGAAGTTTCCAAACATATCGCGTAGTGTGTGTATTCAGTTTTATCTCTATCCATAGATTGCTTTTTACTTTGAATGTGGGCTATGATTTGTTATAAGCATTAATCCCTCTCTTGTATGTTTTGGCTCATATATAACTTAAAATTTTAAAAATTGAACAAGTTTCAGCATTTATCTTCAAGTGAAATGAATTTAGAGTTCAACCATATGAGAAAGTTTGAGAAAGAAAAACATGAATACTGAATTTCAAATCTGGATAACAAATGCTTATACCATCTAAATATCTAACATGATGCAAAAGTACGTTCTGTAGGTTGATTTACACCTAAACACATTTTACTGAACCTGAACCCTTTTGCCATCTCAAAATTATATATCAAATAATATGTTAAAGTGCATAAGACCGAAATAAAGTTCTTAACCTTCTGCCAACTCCAAATTATACATGAAATAATATTAGGTTCTTGACTCTTCACACAAATCCACATCCGCAGTGTATTTGGCAAAGGGGTAGTAAGAAAGATGGGTTCCAACTGGACTGAATGGTGAAAGGAGATATAAAGTGTTGAATACACTTTGCATACTTAAAGGTAGAAGTGGCAAACTCAACCCCGAACCCTTGAACCCCCCCCAATTACACCCATTTGAAACTTGTTGAAATCTATAAACGGTTTTAAATCGGTTGCATCTTGTGAACCCAATTAAAATTGGGTTTAAACGGGTAACCACCTACCACTGCCACCTCCTCCACCATTCGACCACCACCACCACCTAATTAAAATTTGCCATATTCAATTTTATTCTGAGGCTATCTGCCTTGGTGGATGCTCTAGCTCCTACTGCCACCATGGGAACAACTGATTAGACTCTTCCCTTCTTCACTCAGTTCTTCCAATTCCAAGCCAGCTACGGTACATAAATTTCATTATCTTTCAAGACTTAGTAGTTTTATGCATTGCAATTGTATATTCTACTGAACTGTTTTTAGTTGTGGTGAGCTAATTGAAAACTACCACACTACATCCACTACACCTCCACCTCCACCTTCACCTTCACCATTCCACTCCCACCACCACAACCACCACACCCTCATTCTCCACCACTTTGCCTCCACCACCACCCGTCCACCATCACCACCTCCACCACCACTCCTCCATCACCACCATTAGAAAAAGAGTTAAATAAAATAAATGGGCTTGTCGAGTTGATTTTTCCAACCCATATGCAATTCAACCCAACCATTTACACCCGTTTATTAAATGGGCGGGTTTAAATTGAGGCCTCATTTGGGAACTCTCCATTTTAGCCAAAAAGTCAAAAAGTTACTAAGGCCTTGTTTGGGATGCTACCTTTTTAGCCAATTAGTCAAAAAGTTACTAAATTAGCCTGCTCTTGATAGGAACTCAACTTGAAAAACTACCTGTTGAGATGAGGGTGATCTCATGCTTACGTACTGCACATTTTTTTTATTATCTTTTTATTCCTTTCATAAATTCAAGATCCAAACACATTTTTAAATAACTTGTGTTAGATGCCACTACAGTTAGGAGTGGAAATGCTATATTGGAAATGAGTAAATATATATTTGCATAAAATGAACCTCAAACAACCAAACAGTTAGTTATAGATACAACAGACAGTCATTTGACAGTTTGGGAAAAAAAGGCACTTTCCTTCCCAGAATGCAGTTCCAAATAACAGAAGTAAAAAAAAAAATGTGGTAATTGGGGTTCTACAAAAATGGAAGGTTGTCTACAAGCAGAAGCTGGTTAGGGTTTCCGCTTCTCGTACTTTATCTGCCAAAGCTCGACATCATTTCCTCTGTCGTACTCTCTCACGTATTGTGGAATCTGTGTAAGATCAATGAGCTTGCCAACAAAGCAGGGCAACGATCTGCTTTTTAGATCATTGCATTCTGCATTATACATTGCAAAAAACCCATTAGCAGCTTAAATTTAAGAACATACAATGATAGAAACTTTCTTAAATAGTAGAATTTACCTCCTTCATCCCTCAGATAACTTCGGAAGCGTGAATACCCATTTGCAACAACATTAAGATCATCAAGAGTGAAGTTGTAACGTTTTTCCAATGCCAAGTATGCCACCTGAAATAAGAGAAAAGTACGATGCTCCTTAACAATTATCAAGGTAACTTGTAAGAAACCCACTCCCGTCGACAATAAAACTCGCTCTCAACTGAGATAGAATTTCTCAAGCATACAAATCTCAAATAAACGGAAAAAAAAAAACTCAAAACTATTCTAACACTTCAGAGTTACAAAATAATTTATTTATACTTGACAAGGATAATTTATAATTGATATCAATTTCTAATATTTATTTATATTTTAACACATATATTACAACAAAGCATAAAAAATATTTGTTAGAATATATTTATATATTTAATGTACAAAATATACACACACTCCATTAGGCACTTCCAATCTTTGAAACTTCTATATATCCTTTGTCTCCCACCATGGCCCCTGTTCCCACTCCCACTCCCACACCCACACCCACACCCACACCCATCGCTGCCTCCACTTTGCAACTAGTAATAATTTTCTACTTTTTATAGTGATTAATCACCTTGTCTAGTGAATAAGGCACTTGACATAGTCACCAATAATTTTCTTTAATTTTTCTGCACTTCTTGCAAAGATCCATTAACATTGTTGACTTCTTTGTTCAAGGAGGTGACTCTAGTCTTATGATAAGAAGAGAGTTAGACTTTGTTGCCAATTCAACATGCAATACCTCACCTTAGCAAGAACATATTTTTAGTGTTTTTTTTTATTATTTTTTTAAATCAAAAAGCCTAGAACTCATGAAGCATGGACACTCCAAAACATGTGCCATAGTAGTAGTGTTGGACATAGGACACACTAGTTGATGTGTCCCTTTCCTTCATTAATTAATTTTTTTTTTTACCCCTCTTCTTTAGGCTCGGTTTGTTTACCGGATATAAAGGCCGGATATAGATGTGGGACCGGATATAATATGAGGTGGGTTCCCACATGTTTTTTTGTCTCCCCCCCCCCCAATGTATATCCTCCACCGTCGGACATAGCTCATCTTTCATCCAAACGTAAAAAATAATCACTCTCTTCTTATCCTATCCTATATCCTATTTTAACCAAACATAAGTGACCCCACAGTATATATAATCCATCTCATATTCTGCAACATATTATATCTCATCTTTATCCTTAGATATTACATATCTTCTTAAAATTCTTATATCCAATCCAGATAATCAAAAGGGGCCTTAGTGCTTTTGTTGAATGTTGAATATTGAATATTTATTGCTTTTTTGTCTTATATTGTAATGTAATTAACTAATGATTCATTGGATGATAGCTTTTTTGGGTTATTTTGGAAAGATGGTTATAATCAGCTTTTTGGTAAAAAACTGTTTATAAGCAGGTTTTTTGTGAGAGAGGAAATGAGTTATAATCTGGGAAGTGGATTGTAACCCACTTCCCAAAATAGGCTTTTGTCTTTAAGTTAATTCTTGTCATATTTCTCTTTTATGGATGATCAATTAATTATGGGTAAATTACATTTACTTCCCTTGAGGTTTCTGACAAATACGGGAACCTCCCCTATGTTTTAAATAATTACAGTAACCTCCCCTATTTTACCTGACAATGTCAAGATTCTCCCCTTCTGTCAAATTGTTCTAAACGGTGTTACTTTTTCGATAGTAAATTACCTTATTGCCCTTCCTTTTAAAATATTAAAAAATGTTTTTGGATTAGAGGACAGGTTGAAACAAACAGTGTTTGGAACAGTATTTTTGGATTTATTTTTTTAAAATATTAAAAAATGTTTTAAAAAAATTATTTTTTTATTTTAAATATATAATTTTTATTTAAATATTTTATTTTATTTTGTAAATATTTTAATTTTTTTAATTTTAATATGTTAAACTCAAAACACAATTTCACACTCAAATCGTAACCAAACACATAATTCAAAACTCTACACTCAAATCGTAACCAAATGTATAATAAAAAAATTAAAGTATTTAAAAATATATTTATAAAATAAAATAAAATATTTAAAATAAAAACTATATATTTAAAATAAAAATTATATATTTAAAATAAAAAAATAAAAATTTTAAAATTTTTTAATATTTAAAAAATATATTTAACATAAGTTTGTATTTTTTTAAGTTTGTGTTTGGTTATGAGTTTTGAAAATAATTTTTGAATTGAGTTTTGAGTTGTGTATTTGGTTAAGACTATGAGTTTTGAAATTTTTTTTGAAAATTTCTAATTAGAATTGTGATTCTAAAAGAGAACCAAACATGTTTCTAAAAAAAATCTTTTTTTTGAACATGTTTTTACTCAAAACTCAATTCAAAAATTATTTTCAAAACTCTTAACCAAATACAAACTTAAAACTCAATTCAAAACTCAAAACCAAACCTTTTCAGAAACTCTATTTTAAAAGAAAAAAAATTTCAAAAAAAATTTATTTTATTTTTTAAAATTATTTTTAGAATCATGATTTGAGTGTGGAGTTGCATTTTGAGTTATGAGTTTTGAAAAGAAAAAATTTGTTTGGTTATAAATTTTGAAATTTTTTGAAATTATTTTTTTAGGGTAAATATTTTATATTTTAAATATTTATTTATTTATTTTAATGTGCATTATATTTCATACATCTATGTGTTGTATTTTTTTTAATATTTTAAATATTAAAAAAAATTTAAAAAATTATTTTTTATTTTAAATATATATTTTTTATTTTAAATATTTTATTTTATTTTATAAACATATTTTTAAATATTTTAATTTTTTTATTATGCGTTTGGTTACAATTTGAGTATAGAGTTTTGAAAGTAGTGTGGAGTGTCGAGTTATATGTTTGGTTATGAGATTAGAAAATAATTTTTGAATTGAGTTTTGAGTTATGTGTTTGGTTACGATTTAAGTGTGAAGTTGTGTTTTGAGTGTAAAATATTAAAATTAAAAAAATTAAAATATTTACAAAATAAAATAAAATATTTAAATAAAAATTACATATTTAAAATAAAAAAATAATTTTTTTTTAATATTTAAAAAAAATAAATCCAAAAATACTGTTCCAAACACTGTTTGTATATTTCAAACCTGTCCTCCAATCCAAAAATATTTTTTAATATTTTAAAAGGAAGGGCAGTAAGGTAATTTACTATGAAAAAAGTAACACCGTTTGAAACAATTTGACAGAAGAGGGAATCTTGACATTGTCAGGTAAAGTAGGAGAGGTTACTGTAATTATTTAAATCACAGAAGAGGTCCTTATATTTGTCAGAAATCTCAGGAGAGGTAAATGTAATTTACCCATTAATTATTTAAATCTAGTGGGTGAATTTTTTTTTTATTTTTTTGTTTTTAAACTACTGTAAGTTTTTGTTAATTTGATTTTTTGTGATTGTAATATTAATCTACATAGTAAATAATATATATTAAAAAATATTTTTTATTGTGTCCTATGTCCTTGCCCTCAATTTTTTAAAATCACCGTGTCTCTATATATGTGTCCATATCCCAAACAGTCATCAAAAAATTGTTTTTTCTTTCGTAGTTTTTATGAGCACAATTTCTCTCCCTTTTGGACATGCAACAATAGTTTTCTTTCCCATGTTAGGAATTTGATCTTCTACAGAACAACTTACCTAACAAATATTACATATACAATTAATCTTTTTATTTCATTTACTAGTTTCTAGGGACAATTTCTAAATGACCGGGAACATTCTTTGCTAGTTTTACAAAAAAAAAAAAATTATTATAAGTTATAACCCAAAAGGTCGGAGAAACTCCTCGGCTAACTTATTATTAGGAATTTGATCTTCTACAGACCAACTTACCTAACAACTACTACATATATAATTATTCTTTTTTTTATTTCACTTACTGGTTTCTAAGGACACTTTCTAAATAACCAGGAACACTCTTTGCTAGTTTTATTATAACCCAAAAGGTCTTTGGATAACTTATTTTGAATTAGTTAGGGTTCTGAGGTGAGTTTTTTGTATGAAAAACAATGGTTTCAAGTCACAGTAATGCAAATAACCTCGGTTCCATTTAAACTGACATGATTGTTTTAAACCAAGTTTTGATTCAAATTAATCAAGCATCGGGAAAAACCCACAGATGCAAACAAACTGTTAGCAATAAGATTGAGTACATGACTGTCCAATCTCGCTTGTACTTTCCCAATCTCCACTAGTTGATGTGTCAACCACACAATCACGCTCTAGCTCTCCAATTGTTTGATCCAAAGGGAACAGTGTGCTATCCTCAACAATGATTGTGCAAATTAAATCTATATGAATGCAATAACCATACTCACTAGATATAGAAACCCACAGAGATCAACCCCGACCTTTGGAAACTCTTAGGAATATGAGAATAAAGAGTATGGACTACATGAAGCTCTCCTAAGTTCTCCCAAATAATCTCTCTATGTGCACAATATTCAATGTATGCAATTTGCTATATAGAAGTCAAAAAGACCAATATATATATAGACAAGGTGAAAATTCAAGGGAACAAGGAAACAAGAACCAACAAGGTTTTTGTTCCAGAGATGCATTCCAAAGGAAAACAAGCTGCGTTGGAACAGTACTGTAACACCCTCAAAATAGTAGATAAAACCCATTGCATTAGACATGCATTGATCAAAAATAAGTTAACCATTTATATTTATCAGAGTAATTCTACAACTGTATTACATGTTAACAACAAAAGCAAATACCCTAAGGGCTTACAGCTTTCCAAGTTAACACTTGGTTACAAAAAGAAGAGTACTAACTCAATACATATTAAGCCATTGGCTTGAATTTACATGTAATACATCAAAATAAATAAAAGAAGAGTTTTCAACTCTCATCAACATCCAAGCTATGTCCTTAGAGGTGGCATACTACCTGTACCTGAAAATAATGTCCCATAAAGGGTGAGCCAACGCCCAATAGAGATATGCTAAACACAGTATGAGCAATAACTAAGACATTAGCAATTGATAAATGTTCAGTTTCCATAAACCAATTCATAACTCAGTCTCATTTCATTTCAGTTTTCATTTCTTATCAATTTCACAATTCATATCAACGGCTCAAAACCCAGCCAATCCTTTATATGAGACAATGACTCATATTAAACATTTCCCATTTTTCAATAGATGAACATATTAGTTGTATCAACATTTCAACAGATAAGCATACAAGCTATATCCACGTTTCAACAGATATGCATATTAG